TTATGATAACAAAAAACTGCTTTGTATCGCCTCAAAACAAGAAAACAGAACCCCACACAAATCAGAACAAAATGTGAAAGTGTATATTACATAAGCCGTAGAAATAAAGTAAAATTATAAACCAAAATAAAAAAACTACAGAGGAAAAACAAATAAAAGAAATTTAAAAAAAATATATATGAAACAAGAGATTTGATTCAAGTTTGGAATTTGGTTTTATCAATAGGTTACATCATTAGTTTCGCCATTGAATTTCTATCATGTAACTGATTTGCCTAGTTCATTAGAATTCTTTTTCAATGAAAAGATACAATTTTCAGATTTTTTTTTAAACGCGAACAGCAACAACAATAAGCATAAATCTTATCCCAAATCTACTATTGTGGATGACATCAATAAACATTTTTCCCCTTACACTTTTGTCAATGTCTTGAAGCAATGCTACATATTGTTTTCTTTACTAAACTTACTAACTAATCTAATATTTTTCACTAAGAAATCAAATTGTAAACTAAGCATGCACTAACTTTTTCTGAATCATATACATACGTAAATATTTCGGAGAGAAACTAAAATAATAATTATAAAAAAATCAAAACATAAACAACTACAACATAACTTGAAGTGCAATGGTCTTTGTTCTTACTCTTTTTCTGTAAAGTATTGGCTTTATTATCCTTGTCTACCTTATCTAAATATGTATGTATCTAGTCTCTAGTCTTATTAGTCTCAGCAGTTTACTACTACTATATATATATACTTCATCTTAAGTGTATGTTAGCACTTTACTTAAGCTATTACAATTTATTCTTACGTGTACATTTGTATTCTATACATTTTTAGATAATATTGTTCTACGTAATAATAGAAAACTATTTTATTTTCTTTTTGTGGATTTGTTTATGGACTTCTTAATCTAAGCCGTGATTAATATATCAAAGCAAGAAATCAAAAATATCTGCTACATTTTTTGTTTATTTATTATTCTTATAATTACTTAATTACTTAATTACTTGTCATAGATTGAGTGTTTGTGTGCGGCTTAACTCTATTTACCTCTGAAAAATTTAAATATCTGTCACAATGTGTTTGTACTTGAAAATATTTATACATTTGTCAAATCTAATGCAAACTTTGAACGAAAAAGTATTTTATATACCGCAGAGTATAGCTCATCTGTTGATCGATCATCTGATGATCAACAATACGATTGAAGAAACCAAAAAAGAAAAAAAAAAACGAAAAACGAATATAAACGCTCATACCATTATCATATTCTTCTTACACCAATTCACAAAATGTATATCAATAATCTATCCTTAATCGTTTTCATAATCGAAACAAATCAAAGTTCATTTGTCATTAGCCCATGACAATTATTCACATGATGTCATGCCTCACATAGGAAAACTCGTAAAAATACATACAAAGCCGTACCAACTGTAACTGTCCCCAGGGGGCGTATGAGTAACGGACAAGCTTCATTCGTTCTTAATGCAATGTTCGTTATACGCTCCCAAGCACAGTGATTTATAAAACACAAACACTAAAATGACAACAATTACTTAATACTTTAGAAGTATATTTCATAATCATATCTCTTTTGAGTAGCGATTGCGAATAATTAAATTATTCTTATGATGGTTTCCAACAAGCTTATTCTTTTAATGTTCCATATTTGTCTAAACTTTGTTAAAGTTAAAGTTAATTAACGCTTTAAATAATTACTGTTATTTATAAGGCACATTTTTATAGATTTTATAGAAATGATAGTAAGGGGTTGTTTATGCCCTTAGGGTGTGTTATGCCATCTAAAAGGCAATCAAATTGAATATAGCTTGAAATGTTCTGCCAATACTTGTAGAAAAATAATAAATTGTATCATTTTCCAAGAATTGGACTCGACGGTTTGTAAAAGCTAGGCATTATCACATGTAATGTTCAGTTTCTTCGGCAAATCCTCTGCATAGCTGAAAATCTGATATGAAAATAGGAAATTTTCAATCCCCTGTACTTCTAAAAACAGTTCTGTGCTACCTACTAGCCAAGAGCAAACAGTGTAACAACCGTTTCTAGAGGCATTCGTATACCGTATAACTACTCCTGCTTTAGATGTTCGGAGTTGTCTGCATTACTCCACATTTTCATAGGCAGCATATTCTCTGGACTATCAGAAGTGTTTTATAGCCTCTGCCTTATGGCTAATAAGGTATATACATCGTAACATTGGTTTTAGACTCCCTGTTTCTTTGGAACAAAACAGCTTCAGATAATTTTGAGTAATTTTGTCCGTCCATTTCTGTGTCCATCTGTCGGGCCGGCTATAATAACTCTCGAAGGGAGTAATCGATTTCATTCAAAACTTGCACAACGTAATATTTCTACTATGCATAGTTCAAGTTCGAAGATTGGGAATATCGATCCACTTCTTCTGGTACCTCCCCCACAAAATGTTCAAAATTGTGCAAGTAATATAATATCATGCGAACGGACTATTCGATTTTAACGAAGCTTTGTAAAACTTATTATCTTTACCATGCCTAGATTAAGTAGGAAGGTGGGACCCATTGATCCACTCCTTCTGGTACCTCCCCAACAGAGGGTTAAAATTTTCAATATTTATAAATCCAATATCAGGCAAATGGAATGTCTGATTTGAACCAAACTTTGCACAGATCAAGCCACTCCTTTTGATACCTCCCCTACAAAGGGTCAACAGTTTCAATATCTATGAATCCCATATGATGCGAATAGAATGTCCCTTTTGAACCAATATTTATAAATCCAATATCAGGCAAATGGAATGTCCGATTTGAACCGAACTTTGTTCAAGCTATTATCTTTATCAAGCCTAGACCAAGTCTAGAGATAGGACCCTTTGGTCCTCTCCTTCTGGTACCTCCCCCACAAAGGGTAACATTTTTCAATTATTATAAATCAAATAACAAGCGAATGGAATATTAGACTTGAACCAAACTTTGCACAACCTATTATCTTTTCCAAGCCCATATCAAGCCCGAGGACCCACCGACTCTCTCGTCTGGTACCTCCCCCAAAAAGCGTCAATATTATATAACTATATGAATAACCCATTTGATCAACGTTAAATCCGAAACCTCTTTCATAAAAACATATACCTCATTTAAAATGAATAATAAAAACCGTGCGTAACTTCGAAAACCTCCGCAAACCATAGCCTGTCGGCAACACTGGCTGACACTTTTTTACTTGCTACATTATATATTTTGGTTCATTGCTGCATCAATAAAGTTATTTATAGGTTAACAAATATTGTCTGTTTTGTAGACTTCCTGTTAAAACAGCACCATCTTATCGGAACATTTCGGAATCGTTTGGATGTAACATTTATTTACACAATCTTGGTGCCCGGAAAATTTCACAAATTCAAATAATATATTTGTAATAAATGTCAAAGTTCTTATACGATCATCAATATAATAATCCTGGAAACATAGACTTCCTTCTCTATATGGAGTTGTTACTCAATTTCAAATTAAATATTACGAACAATATTCAAATGTTATGGAAATTGTGAACCATTGTAGTTTTCCCAACCTCTTTCAATATATTATATATTGATAGTAAAATTAGTAGCCTGAGTAGTTAAAATGTAGCATTAATTAATGAACAATTGATAATAATTAGCCAATACTCTTTTCAACTTAAAAAAGGACATAAAATGATATCTAAAGCTTTAACTTTTGACACATGTGGCAAATTAATATGATGATAACTTTACAAATATATCAACATTATATACGAATATATGTTAATGTGTAATTTGCTGTATCTACTGATGTTCAATTCAAGTTTATTTTTCTTTATATATAAATGTTTTCTAACCCCCAAAAACACCCCGAAGTTTTTTGCAAAGTACTAATTATATATGTGTACTTATTACCAATCATTCCACCTTTCCACCCCCCTTTAAAACCTCAACTAACTCAACCAACCAACAACTTACCCACCAATTTCTTTTGTTACTTCTACTACTACTACTACCACTGTGTACTACAACTATTTGCTGGCTAATATCTGTATTATCAAAAAAGTTACATTCGTAACATACATTCAATCCAAGCAGTCAATCAATATCGTATATAGAACTATAAATACATAAATGTTGTAAGTTTGTTGTGTTCTACGTGTTAAAAATTAAACTCCACACCAAGAAATACAACGATTTTAGACGATTTTCATGCAAAATTTCCTCTTTTTTTCTTTCGTAAATTTGACTGTGTGCTCGCTCGCTCGTTCGTTCGCTCGCTACTTCCTGGCCGACTTTGAAATGTCCAAAATCAAAAACAACAACAACAATATGAAAATGAACGGCTCTTCACTTTGAATTGAATATACATGAAACACAACCACTTACACACGGAATGTATGTCGACAACGAAACCAACAACTACAAAACAAAATTGCAAAATCTGATATCAATGTTCGAAACAAAAACAAAACAAAAACGAAAATTTTATTCCATGGCAAATCTCACGATCGAACCTATAATTAATGCAAAAATGTATCTTCCAAATACACTCCAACACATACACACGACTCTGCATAAATTGCGGCTGTGCTATCATACCGAATAACAACCACCATCCAATAACTGTGTGAATTAATGACATCAATGCGAATATCTCCGATCATGCCACATGCACGATCATAACTCTGAAATATTCGTTCTATCTCTCCTACTTCTGACTAACACAACAACAATCACCCAACAATTTGTCACCTAACATTTGTACCTCTGCATACTTACTCATCTATCATTGTCATCGTTTTAACGCTCCTCCATTTGCATCAAAAAAATACACACATACACGCAAAACGGAAATCATATTTTCATCACCATCATCATCACCAAAATAAACACACACAAACACATATACACACCCACACACTTTTACATACATTAGAAAAGCGCGAAAGTCGCTCTAGATCCATAAAAAATTGGCACCGTTTAACAAAAGCCCTACGACGATCGTTACCCACAGGGCACAATCTCTCGCAGACGGATGGGAATAGCACAGAGGGCGACTCGACCAGTGGACGAAATCCGGCAACAACGGGGATCGGTTGCTATAAGAACTACGATCATGTCTCTAATCTAAGAAACTCGAATGCAACACATGTGAGTATGAATTTTATTCAGTATATTGGGTTGGACCAGTTGGTGGCCTCAACCCACCCTAATCCTCAAGTAACTAACTATTGTAATGCCAAAATAACTGTAATATTAATAATGATGATGATGACACTGGTGATGTTGTATTATATTCTATTTCTATTAATTTAGGTAAATCGTTTTTAATAACACGATTTGATATTGCCATTGTGTGCCCTCTTTCTTTTCTTTGCCTGTGTCTCCGTATTTATGAAATTTCGGAAACGTAAATATTTACAATGTGTTGTTTTCGAAATTTGGTAAATGTTTCTGGAGAAAGAGAGTTGTCGTCATTGAAATTTTCTTTTTTTTTCAAAATAATTCTGACTTTTTTTGTTCTCTTTCCATAATTTGCTCTGTGAACAGCACCATGCCTCCTCTATCCCCGATCAACAGGATGCAGTGCCGCCATACACTTTTGATAATCCCAATGCAAGGCAGACATCAATGATGGCAATGGAAAGCTATCGGCGTGAACAGCAGGCATTACAACAACAACAGCAGCAGCAAGAGCAGCTAGGCCACTCCACCCAATCTGCAGCTTTGGCATTGACTTCGTCGAACCCAATAACAACCCCCAACAGTGGCCCAAGTGCTGTCAACAACCCAGCACAGCAGCAGCAACAATCGAATGCGGCTGGTGACGAGGGTACAGGTTCCAATGTGCAAGCCTCCGGCGGTGATGATGAGAACGGACCACCCTCAATGTTGCCTGTGCAAATGATGATTAAGCCAGGGGTAAGTGTCATGTGTCACCTGTCTTAAATAGATTACTGTTACCGTGGTCTCCATATGGCCAAGACAAACGTTCGTTTTGTTCACATCAGATTTCATTCTTTAAATTTGTTTAACTTTTAATAATATGATTTATATATGTTGTAAATTGTAGCTAAAACACAAACACACAAATACTGAACCCAAAACAACAACAACAAAGAGCGGATGAGAAAGAAATAACAGGTGGCAACACGTGCGAAATTAAACAATATGCAATGAATGTGAAATGAAAATGAAATTTTCGACTTCCGTCATATGAACAAGGAGTAGTGAAAATATTACATTTGTACTTAACGTTATCTAAATGATTCAGTTTGAAGTTTGAAGGATAACATTTCCATAATTAAACAATTTTAAGTACATATTGGGATTTGAAAATCATATTCAAATTACCATACGTATACGTAATATGTTTAAGGGCCGAACAATCAGTAAGCCATTTTAAAATTATGCCTACATAATATTTTATGTTTTGCAAAAAAAAACTTCTTGCAAGAAAAATTATTTCCATAGGGTTCTATTGAAGGATAAAATATCGACTAACAGAAATTTATAATTATACCATACACAACTATGTTGTACGGATATTATAGCTTTGTGTGGCCTCAACAGTTTGTAACCCCGCGAAATAGTGGTCCTGGACCCACCTCTTAGCATACTGATATTTTGAAAATCTGAGTAGATCTGGTCATGTTTCCATGCGTCTGTCCATTATAATTTGCAACCACCGTACAGCCTACAATTAAGCACCAATAGTCAGAAAATTGCATATTTAGATTTGGTTCTGGTTGGTTAAAATTTGGGAGATTAAATGGACCAAAATACTTAATTCTTGTATGCGTAGAATTCATTTAAACGGAGAAGGAGCGAAGGTATAAGCTATCGCGGGACCTCGGCTCAAATGGAACCATTTTTTTTGTGTAAAAAATTATAAAATTTGTTTTCTATAGCATATATTTCTACCCCTAAAGGCATTAACCGGAGATTTTGACCAAGATTCCGAAGTTTCTGGCGAGTCACTGTAGTTGTGTGTGGCCTAGCGTTGTTTTGGTGGAACACGACCTCTCTTGTTGGCCAATTCTGATCCTTTCTGGTCAAATTTAAATGGTTTAAAACAGTTTAATAGTCGATTTTTAGCTAACATACCGGTAAACTTCGATCCTTTCTCCGATCCTTTACCGACATTTTCGACGACCAGCCTACCTGTGAGGTTCATCTTTAACATCGAAAATTCCTGAACGGAATCTTCGAAAACAAAATTGCACATAATTGGCTGTTGAAGTATCGGAACCATAAACAACATTCACAATTTTAGCCGCCTGGCTTGCATTTTCGCCTTTTAAAAAAAAACTGTAAAATGTACCGAATTTTCTACTTGTTCACTTCCATTTTTAACACCCTGTACTCACACCTGAATGCAACAACCAAAACCAGCAAAATATTTTTTTTTACTGCGAAAAAATAATGGATTTCTTTTTCCCCAACCTAATAATTATCGACGATAATAAGACCCAAAATATTATCTTTTTTCTGGTGCAAATATACAGCTCCGGTGATAATCGATTTAGAAATTCGTCTGATATGATATAAATAGTGCACCACAGACTCAAAATTTTTCCAATTTACAACGGAGCGAAATGTGTCTAGAAAGACATTTGCGAAGTTTAGTAAACATCTGTTGAGATTTAGTTATATTCTCCACATATATTTTTGACCGATTTGATATAAATGATGCACCAAATACTGAACATTTATCGGATTGCGATGAAATTTTACACAATGAACCAGCCTGGATCGGTTCACATTTCTATATATAGCTTATTTTCATGTTTCTAGCTGATTTCATCTCAATGGTGCACCAAATACCCTATGATTAACCGATTTCGACGAAATTTTAAACCACGTATTAAATTGAGCATGTAATGTGTTATTGAGTTCTTATGAAATTGGCTCAGATGCAGATATAGCTTCCATATTTATTTTCTACCGATTACCAACTAATCCGATTGAGATTAAATAACGAATGACATTTGTCAAGTTTTCTTGGCCGATTCATATATGTTGTAAATACACGTTTTTTAGTCTGCCTGACTTATATAAAATTTTCCATAGATTGCCGAATGACATGTGTATGGATTGATTGCAGTCGATTAACATGCAGATATTGATCACACATATTATTTCGTTTTATTGCATGTCAATGGCCCATCAGAAATTGTACGTCTGTTATGATAAACATCTTTGGAAAATATCTTGAATATACCAAAAGTTGTGAAGTGAGCCGACTACCGTCCGACTTTTGTTCGGTCCTAACTGGTACATTTCAACTCATGATGGGTCGATCTTAACGAGTTTATGTTTTTCCACTTATAATCATAAATAAAATAAAATATTTTATTGAATTAACAATAAATACTAAACATAATGTAAGTTCCCATTAAAAAGAAGCCCACGTTTTAAGTACAAAAATGTTGCCACCTGTTTACTTCGACAACGAATACATCCGACACTAACACTAAACATTTAGATATTCAAAACCTAACAAACATATTGATATTGTTTTTGTGTTGTTTATTTCACATTTTAATTGTACACATAATCGTTGTAATATTTTTAATGTTTTGTTACCAGAAGAGAAAAAAACACAAAAAGTCATATCTTCCAATTAATTGTTTAAGATTACAAAAATTAAACAGAAAAGTATTTAACTATTTGTTTAGTTTATGTTTTTTCGGTTTCCTTTGGTTTGGTTTCCATACGTTTGTTTGTAACTCAGTTCAATTTTCCCATCTAGGTCTTTGTGATACTGGTTTCCGTTTTTGTTTTCGTAATGCTTTCTTTCATTTCTGTATAGCCAACGGATTATTTTACTCTTTCATTGATTCGATTTGTTTTTACTATCCATCTCAATGTAACTCTTAACTCTCTCTTGTATATCGAATTTGTTTTGAAAAATTAAAAACACACACCCTTTTAAATTATAGATTCTACGGGGACGGAGTAAGGAGGTATAATAAAATACCTTACTATTACTTAATTATACTACTTTTTTCATTTCTTTTGAAAGTAAACAAAAAAACAAAAATCCTTAATTCAATTCTAATTTATTTTTCCATTCATTTGATTTTGTATAATGTCTTGAACCATTATTAGAGGCTGTTTTTACAAATACAAAACCAAAAGAAACTATAAAAGCTATACCGAAATACAATATTAAATAAACAAAAAAAAAACAAAAGATTTTTTTTGCAATTGGCACCGGTTATGCTCAAGAGAAACAATATCTTGATCTTCTGTTCGGAAACTTTTCAAGTATTTTTGGAATGACAACTGTTTTTTGAGTTTTATTGAAAAAAAGACAAAAAATAAACAAACTATTTTGCTTTCTTATCTTTCTTCCTACAAGCAGAACATGATACTTACCTACATTTTTATTATATATCTACTTCCTGTTTGATAATCAAATCATTTTCGTTTACTATCTTCCAATACTATTGAACATCTTTTGAACACTATGAATTACGAAAAATTTGAAAGAGATAATATCAGCATTGCCTTGATTCTATTGTTCGGTTATTTATTTATTTATTTAGCTTTTGCTTAACTTTCATTTTGATTATCAAGTATTTGTGTAATATATTTCATAACATACATACATACTTACATTTAGTAGATTTATTATGTTTAGCCTTTCAGTTTATTACATCATCGACACATCTTCGATATCTAGAAATATACCGTTATTTTGATGTCAAAAACGCAAATAAATTTTCTTTATTATAAAGTGTGAACGTTGAAATTTTGTGTGAAACACTAAATCATTTAAATGGCCTCCTCGTGAACTCTACCACTGACTCCTTTGAGGCAGTTTTCTTGATGAATGTTGGTTTTTAAGTGTTTCAATTACTACAAGATTTTCAGAACCCCAACATTTAGTTTACAGTGTGTCACAGTCAAAAGTATCCCCTTAGGGTGGAGTGTATATTAAATTTGTCATTCCCCACAAAGTATTTCTATCGGTTCACGTTTCTGTGTAGCCCCATATAACGTAGCCAATATTCGGTATATTGGACACGTTTCCTAAAAAAACTGCAATTTACTGCAATTTTGTATTTTGGGTTCTCATTGTATAGCATATTTCAATATTTTCGGTATTTTGAGACCTTTGGACACGTTTTTCAACCGAATTGGCCGTAATTTGGTATCTGGTATTCTCATTGGCTGTCAAATCCCACTACCAAAAAATATTAGGTTGGGGGAAAAGAAATCTATTATTTTTGTCCGATTTGGGTCAAATATGCAACGTTTTATTATATGATTTGTTGCCATTTTAAAGGTAACTTCATAATGTCTCTCTCATTAAAGTCCTGCTCTCTATTTGCAAAAAACTCTAGTAGACGATTTTCACAATCCTCCCTAGATACCAATTTTTCAGCATTACAGAAATTTTGCAATGCAAGAAAAATGTGATAATTAAAACTTCCCAACCAATCTCCCGGTGTTTCTGGCGTGTCACTGTAGATGTGTGTGGCCTAGCGTTGTCCTGGTGAATCATGACACATCTCCTGTTGGTCAATTCTGGTCGTTTCTGGTCAATTGGAAATGATTTAAGGGAACCCCACCCATTCTCGATTTTAATTTTTCAAGATTTTCAATATGCTGGTAAATCAATACCAATGCTTGTTAAAGTTTGTAACCTTGCACATATCTATTTGAAGATTTAAAAATGAAGAAAAATAATTTACAAACAATTTTTGTTATTGTTTTGTTGTTGTTTTTTTGTAATTAAAGAAAAGTCCTTATTTTTGATGGCGGACATGATAACTCCTTACTGGAACATCGGAATCCGAAAATTCCAACGGTGTTAGAAAGAGTACATGTCTGGCTCTCGTATGAACTAGGGTTATTGACTTCGCTCTAAAATTAACAAAATTGCGGACCTTTGAAAAAATATTTTTGGA